ATATCTTTTAATGGCATTAAAACAACGTTGAGCTATTTAACAACATTACTGCAAACCTTGCAAGGAGAGAAATTATATTCTGGTGGACCAACTGCCAAGTTATCATGCAATAGCTTTTCCACATCTTAATATTTGGTGAGAAAACTTCTAAAATGTTGCAAACACAACTGTTTCCATTCTAGGGTCTACGCTGGGCAAGGTCAGCATTATAAAGTCCTCTAATATTACCCCATTACATGTTTTATTTATTCCCACGCCTGCTTCTCCAACATTCTCTAACTGTATCGACTCAGACATACTTGTTTTGGTCACTTCTGTAACTTTCTGGTAGTCAGATTTTCAAAATAACTTCAACTATTAACTGGCTTGTATCATTTCTTTACAAGGAATAAGTAACAAACTGACACTGCTTTTACCTTGCAGGCTGCAAAAAGATGTAAATAAAAGAAACCCCACTCTTCATAAATGGCAAAAAAGGTAAATAAACTAAATAAACCAGAATTTACACCTGAAGACACTTCAGTTTCCCTGGCAGGCTGTAATTGTTTACTTAATCTGGATATCGATTGTAGTTAGACTGCTGGCTCACTTCTTTCCGCTGCAATTTTCATTTTGGCAGTCTCACATATATGCTTTAAAATTCCTCTCTGTGGCTGCATTGCTTGCATTCTTTCCTCTCGGCCACAATCCACCATCCAGAACTATACTTTCTCCTCTGCATTAATAGTTTTTTACATTTTCCGATCTCCGTAGAACAAAAAGGGACATACTTTACCAAGAATGACCCTGAGACACTGCCCTTTACAATAACACAGCACCCAGGATTTAGCTGCCCAAGCACAAGCAAACTGTGCCCATAGAAGGCTGAGAAGCTTCCCCGGCTGCAGCAGCAGGGTGCATTGCCATGGGTGCCTGTGCACCTCGGGGCCCCTGGCAACAGCTGGTGGCTGCACTGCTACCCAGCCCTTGGCTGACTGTGCCAGACGGTGAGGCCAGTACAGGCAGTGAATTCTCCACCTATTTCTAGCCAAAAAGACTTCTGTAGCAGATTGCCAGCATTCCGTCAGGCCTACTGGCCCCGTGACACAACACCCAGATCAATTTGCTCAGCCCATTTCCACGCCAAGAGATTCTCGCCACAGATCACACAGGCTTGCAGAGCACTTGCAGAGCACTTGCAGAGCATGTGGACTGCACTGCAACAGCTCAGATATTTCATTCTTCAACTTCAGTTACAAGCAGACATCTGTAAATGCGTAACATTCCTATCAGTTGCTGTCATTTATTTCCAGTTATTTAGCAGACAGGACCACACCTGGTCATAAACAGGCAATACAGAGGCCCAGTGTTAATCTCCTTCCTTCTACCAAAAGTTCAGAGCTCCCAAACTCGACATCAGGAAAAGTAAGATAAGAACTTCAATACATTTATCAAATTAATCTGATAAACCTTCAGAGGTATGTTAAGTATTAATATATTTCTTGGATACTTTCAGACTCAGAGGCACTCCAATATTTCACGCCATAAAATATAGATTGCTAAACACACTATTCATCAAAAATGAGAAGAACAGCAATTATTTGGAAAAATGAAACTATTCCTTCAACAGAAGAGATAATGCTACATCAGAACAGACTGACTCTGACAGCAGTTCAAAGTATTACCAAAAAAATCAATGCTTTCACATCCAATGAAGCTCAGCAACTGTTTTTAGATGTGGTAAAAAAAATTACAAAACCCAATAATGCTTTACCTGGAATATTTTTATGTCTAAAATTTGGCAGAGTCACATAACTTAAAAGTATAGCAAGTCTCTAGGTATCGATCAGGGCTTTGTGCATCTACAATGTCATAAAACTGATCTGCAACTATAAAAAAAGATAACATGATTATGAGAACACTACACTGTAATTTCCTTTGGGTAGTCAGAAAACAAAGACCGTTTGATGGTCTCTGAAATAAACAAGCCTGGCATTCACCCACCAACAGAAGCATTTTACAATACATCGATAAAAGTACCTCCTATTCTTAGCATAGTAGCAACAACAAGAAGGCAATAGAAGAGCAAGAGTTACCTTTCAGCCTCAGCACAGCACGCAGTTGGAAAGCAAAGCCACGCACATCTTACCCAAGAGCTTTAACACTCTGACTCTGCCACCAGTTCAGGCGTGGCACACAAAGAGTTAACCTGATTTTGAGCCATTATATGGAGCTTACAGTAAAGCCTGCTCTAATAAAGAGTATGATAGGAAGGTCAGCCCTTAATTCACCATCAAACTATCTTCTGGGTGTAAACGTAATGACTTCTGCTTATACATTAGATAACCCTGACAAGAATTCTACTTGACAATGCATTTTAGATCTGGAAAACTGTTCTCATTTGTGCCAAGGTGTTGGATGTCAGCAGATTCACTAATATGCTTATTATTTGCACTTCAGTGGTGGAACAGTGTAAAACACTGTGAGCCCTCTGCACCCCCCCACTGCCTGGCTAGGGAGGACAGGAAATCAAACAGGATTTAATCCCATCCATATCACTGTGCATTTGGTGAAACTCGACAAGTCAACATTAAGTATTCAAAGTGGTATTGTGCCCTAAAGGGATCACATGCAGCCTGCACATGAGAGCAAAGGAACAGCTCGGTTCTGCTTCGGTGTTTGTAAATTTAATTTGTTCAGGAAAAAGCAACTCTGGAAGGGATTACTAGCGAGGATCAACACTCTTAGCAAGGAAAAAGGGGAAATGCAAGCAATGCAACACTGACAATTTTGTAATACAAAACAGCTTTTCAGGCTTAACTGTATAAATAAAAGTTGGAGGCAACTGCAGCACAGCCCCTGCACATGCGAGTGCTGCACCCAGTGTTCCCCAGTAGGAGGGCCTGGAACACTTCACAGAAGTTCACAGCAACTGAACAGTTACTTAGAAAACACCACATTTTACAACGTATAACATTTCCTTGCCAAAATATTTCTAAGTATGGTCTCAGTGCAATAGCTAGTGTGGCAGTAACATTCATGGCATGAAGACTTCTGACGTATTGATCTTTATTACCAAGACCTAACTCAGGGAAGAATATTTGTAGTTACACATGCACATCCCCGGCACACATGTGCACACAGAAACCCAAGACCTACAGCAATGGACTTTTGAAATAGCGCAAGAGAAACCTGTGAATAGCTTCTGCTAGGTGTAACTCTGTGTTTGTGCTCCCACAGTGTCTCAAATATTCAGCTGTTTACAGTTGTCTCTGCTCCTATGCCAGAAAATTGGTGACGAATTCCTGAGTCTGTAAAGAGCTCTGTTTGCTAAATCCTGCAGGGCAGAGAAATGCTGGTAGCTGGGCCTTGTTGGGGAAGAGAGGATGTCCCGAAGCCACAGCTGGGTTCCCTGTGCCCTCCCATCAGTTAGGCACAGCTGGGGTAGGCATGGGACAGGCAGGTGCCAGTGAGGATAGGAAAGTTTCCTGCTGTGTTCCAGCACAGCTTCTGGTGATGACTGAAATTCCAAGGGACTCTTATATGCCAATTTTTCCCAGAGCAAAGGACAATGAATACCTTTTTTGCACAGACTGGTAACTCAAATATAAAGCACAGAAAGCAAAGTACCACCGCTGAGCAATCTAAAAAGCGTTAAGCTTGATTAATGAGATAATAAAAAACTATAAAAAGAAAAAAAAAAATCCAATTAAAGTATATTCTCCAACAGAAATAAAGAACCCGAGAGAATGGTAAAACTTTGAAAAATTAGTATGAGAGAGATGACAGCCTTAGTATTCAAGACTGCAGTAGATCAGTTTTACACTTTTTTTTGACTGCTGTCCCTTATTTATCATCCCTAACGCATGCTGTCTGCATTTCTGGTCCTTGCTAAGTTTCCTTTTATTCCATTACTGCCTCACGAGTATAACACCTGAATTTAAATACAAACACATAAAAAACATGGCATTTTACAGGCTGCGGGTGCTTCATTCAGAAACACGGCATGTCTCTGGCACTTAAAAACAGAGGAATAAAAACAAACCCAGAGAGGGCACAATGCTCATCCATCACCTCTGCGGATCAGCAGCCAGAAGACTGCCCCCCCTCTTACTGCCGACATACGAAGAACCGATTAGAAAGGGAAGTAACCTCGCGATACCGGTTTCCAATCAGCAGCTGGTACACGAGGACAGCCGGAGGCCGGGAAGGAGCAGCACGGACTGCAGGAGACAGGCGGGCAGGCGGTGGGAGCGCGGCCGCACGGCGCGGAGCCGGGCGGAGCACAGCTGTAGCTCCCCCTGGTGGCGGCCGCCTGCGAGCGCGCAGCTCTCCGCGGGGCTCTACCGGCAGCACGCTGAGCTCCGGCTGATGTTTGTTCTCTTTTCTTTTTTCCCCTTCAAACATCAAAGTGTCTTGCTATACATTAAATACATATGCATACCCTCTTTCTCCTTAACACGGTTCAGTGAATATTCAGTGTTCATTTTCCCTCTATTTAAATCTGTAGCTCAACACTCCATTGAGAAGCCCGACATGAATGTCGTCACCAACTGCTCCGGGTGTTACGCAAATGAGTGGCTTTGGAAAGACCTTCATTTCATTATGGGTTTTGCCCTTTCTAATTTGACAGATTGAGAACCAAGGGGCAGTACACTGTACAGCCTGCCTGCTGGAGGACCTGCAAAGGAATTCACAGCAGAGTTCCCCCTCACTTTAGGCTGAGCCCACACTCCTTTTCATGTGACATGGTGCTAACGTGTCTAAGTAAAAGCCAAAGTCACCTCCAATTCTGTCATCAGGTTGAGGACCGGACCCCAGACCGGCCACCAGCAGAAAGGCCATCCAGAGCACGTGAGGGTCCAGGAATAAGTTTTGCTTTCCAGCTGGGCTTGCAACAGCGAAACGGGCCCGGAGCAGGGGAATAAAACCCGGGCACACAGTCCGTACTGAGACACTCCCTAAGACTTCCCAGGAAACAAACCGGTGGCTGCTTCTCCTAAGCTCAACACAGGACTCACCATTTTGCAGACCACCGCTTTCACCCAGCACCCCCGGTGAGCAGATACCAGCGGGTGGCCGAGACCACAGTGATCTCGGAGAGACCCGGTCATACGCAGCCGTCACCCCCACACCTCCACGAAATCACGTACGGGCGTTTTGAGCGGCCCCCACCTTCCAACCAACTCTACAGGGACGCCCCGTCCCCGCCCGCCCGCGGCACGCGCTCCGCCCCGGTCCCGCCGCATCCCGCCCCGTCCCGGCTGTCGGGCCCTCCCGCCACCGCCTCTTCCACTCCTGCGCACTGGGCGCGCCCCGGGGCTGCCCTGGGCCGGGGTCGGCGGAGCGCCGGGCGGCCAATTGCGGCGCCCCGGGGAGCGGCTCCGGTGGGGCCGCCGCCCGCACTCGTGGGAAGGATGGAAGCGGAGGGCCGGACGCCGGAGCCGACGCTGCCCCCCGCCGGCGGGGGAGGGCTCGAGCCCCTCGCGGGTGCCCCCGGTGCGGCCCAGACGCCGCTGCTCACCGCCTCCGCCGAGGTGTTGGCGTTCGACGACGATGAGGACGACCTGGAGGTGTTCAGCAAGGTACGGCCGCGCCCAGCCGCGCTCTCCCCGCAGCCGAGGCGGGTGCGCGTGGCAGCCGGGACCGAGTGGGGACTGGGGTGGCTGAGGAGCCCCCGCTGCCGACGGGACGGGGTGGGACGGGACGGGCGGGGCGGGCTCGCGCTCGGCCTCGCTTGCATGGAACCGCTCTGCAGCCCTCGGCCGGGAATGCCTGAAGCGTGGCGGCCCGGGCATGGCGCGGGGCAGCGGCTGCTCTACGCGTGCAGACGATGCAGCGGCTCGGCGGGACGCTGCCGGGCGCTCCGCCGCGCTTCGGGGCTGCGCCGTCCCCGCGCCCCTTAGCGCACTGACCGCACGGCGGGAGGCCGGGAGGCGCTGAGCAGCCGCCGGAGCGGGCAGCTTCTGCTTGGGCGTCTTCTGCGAGTTCCGAACTGCTGCGTTCCAGGATGTGCGACGGGGAGAGAAACTGCGAGTGTCTTTCCTGTTTGAAAATGGGATATCCCGCTTCTTCATTGGGATCAATTGTTACTGGAATTAAAGATATATCTCCTATATTTCTATGGAAAAGAAGCAATTTTTTGTAAATGTAAATAAAAACCATTGGAATAAGAGTTGATTATTGGGACCTATTTAAACTGACTGCAGTAAAAATCCTGAAATTGATGGATTTTAAAGCCAAGGGCACTGTTAGGTGATTTAATGGTCTATAATGGGCAAAAGGTCAGGCTAAATCTTACCAAGTTACCTGTGCTTTTCTGAAGCCTAACTAGAGTTAACTAAATCACATTCACTGAACTTGAGCACAAAACCAGTGCTCAGTACTGTTAGCTGTTTCTCACCTGGAGTCCTTTTTCCTTTTCCAGGCAGGTGCAAGCCTGGGCAGCTCTGCATGCAGTTTCAATGCCTGTCAATACAGCATACCGACATGCTTGTCAAGCGTGATGTTCCTTGAGAACAGAAAACAAAACTAGTATTTCATATAACTACTCCTGCTCTCAGACAAAAATCTGTATTCTTAAGTATCTTCCATGCAGATTCATGCAAAATATTTCCTGCTTATAGTAAATCTTAACAATTCTTACTGCATGCAGAATGATGACCTTTTTCTGCAGACAAGAATATTCTATGTGCAAGTCTTGGGCTCCTGCTTTTGGTGGTTGTGTATCAGCCAGAAATTGACAGTTTGCTTTCAGCTTCAATTTGAGGGCTGATCTTTCAAGATGATGAAAATCTGTGGAGGTGATTTGGGATTATAGCTTGTTTGCATGCATCCGTTATATGAAAGGGACGGTGACAGGTTAAATGTAGTTTCAGACTGATTTTTGTAAAACTTATTTGTCTGTAACACACTGTCCTGAGACCTCCTCATGTTTAATTTACACTGCTGTCCTTAAGGCAGTGGTGTAATGTGGGCAGGCTGAACGGGATGCAGAGGAAGCGCAGTGCTCAGTGCCTGGTGCTGCATCAACTTCATTTTTCTAAGTTTAGTCAGTGGAACGGACCAACTATCTCAATGATGAAAAATGAGGTTCTTAAAAAGTTGTCAGCCTCAATACCCTCAGTTATTACTCAAGATGTAGTCGCCAAGTCTTTATTGTATGAAAATTCATAGACATTTGACCTGGCAGTGTCATAACCATTAAGCCAGCATCCCGTGACATATCTCAAATATTACAGACTGGCTTCTTAACTCAGCAGCTCTGATAAACCGTTTTCTGATGTAACCTGCATTTCATTTTATCCAAGTTTCCGTCACCATGGTGAAAGTTCTGAGGTCATTTTAGCAGAAGCAACTTCTCAAGGTTGAATTATGAGTCACACCACAACCTGCTTTCTTTCATGAGTTGTGTTGCAATACTCACCCTGGTAGTCCTCTTGTTCCTTGTTCCTGGTGCCCTCGCATGGCATTGACAGAGCTGGTTTGGTTAATGCTTAAAATGTTTTAGAGTTGGTTCTCTTCCATAATCACAGAAAACTTTCTTCATGGTGCTTGTAGGAAAGATGTATGTGCCACTGCAGAATTGCACAATTTTTTTTCTGGAACAAGTGGATCAAGGATTTGAGCCTGATTTAAAAGTTGAGTGTTCAGCCAAGGAATCTCTCTCCTTCTTTGAAAAATGCTCCAACAACTGAGCTGTTCTCCTACAAGACACTCTGCCATCATGTCCCTTGATTCCAGACCTGCTTTGGATCCCTGGTCTCAGATGCATGCTCTATGTTCTGCCTCATGGGGATAGTCTTGAGCCAAGTGTCCATGCTCTGAGTAGGAGCAGTGTTTTGGCAAACTCCAGGGCTTAATGGTTTCCCCAGAGAGCTGCAGGCTGTGTGCTCAGCCCACACTGAGGCTGCTCCCACTGCATAAGTGTTTCTATCCCATATTAATTTTGGAGTCTTAGTGGCCAATTTCAGTCAAATGAAAAATTTTTTAAACCAAGAATGGGAACATTTGCTTGTTTTCTTTTCTGCCACAAAATTCCTTCCACCCACAACAGATACAGAAAAACATAGTTCCAACTTCAATGTCATAGCTGTATAGAAGAACAGAAAGCTAGCTTTAATTTTTTTTTACCGTGTTCTTTCAAGAACTGCTGGAAGTAAACCTGAAGTAAAGAAGAGATGTGCTTACTTAAAACTCACATGCACTCATTCATATGCAGATGACACAATGGGTGTAGAGCAGCGAAACAGAAGACTTGTTTGTTCCATGGATTTTTCTTGTTGCGGTTTTATTTCTCAGATCGCACACTTGTGAGCCCTTGCATATAAAAACATGCTTTCCAGAACCTGCTTGTACAACTTTTAGTAGCAACTGAGGAGGAAGGAAACATGAAGATACTGGTGACCTGTAGGAAATGAGACAGTATGAAACACATTTACCTTGATTAAGCTTTGCATTGTCATTATTCATCAATGGCCATTCAAATCCCATGCATGCTCACATGCATTTTTCTTTCCCTGGAAATTTCCTGTTTTCTCAGTACTTCGCTTCACCCAAGCACATTTGGGAAACTGTGCTCATTCTCCACATAGAGCATGGGCAGCTGGTGCTGTAGAGCAGAGAAAGCACAGCTTTTGTATTCATCCTTCGCTGCTTTGGTCAGGGCTGACCACATACAGCACAGAAACTGTGGGCTGGAACAGCCTGAGTAAAAGAAGTCAAGTAACTGACAGACATACAATGAAGCACCTATATAATATTAAAACCATCACCTTTAATCACAGAGTTATAGAATAGAAGGTCTGGTATATTAATAGTTTCAGTGCATAATTCCCAATATGATTTTCTACTCCATATGTGTGAGAGTACATTGATAGATTCAAAAGGAGAGAGTTTGCAGTAGAAAATGAGGGTCAGAGCAGGAAAAGGGGGAAGAACATGTCCCTGAGATAGTTTTGGCCCCGTTGAAGCCAACGGAAAAAATTCTTGCCAGCCTCAGTGACACCAGTCTTGTACTCTTCAGTCCCACATGACAGTACACAGCTCTGGTTTGTGTGGACTCATACATTCCTACTTCTGACATCTTACAGTTTTCTCATCAGCAACATCTGTTTTCTGCATGCTCCATAGTCAGCAAGGCACTACAAAGGGCAATTTTTGCCACTGGGGTTATCTTGCTTACAGGAGAGCAGCCAGCCTTGTGAACGGGTTGCTCAGAGCAGCTGCAGGTGCCCCATCCTTGGAGGTGCTCAAGGCCAGGCAAATGGGGCTTTGGGTAACCTGCTCTAGTGGAAGGGTTGGAACTGGGTCATCTTTAAGGCCCCTTCCAACCCAAACCATTCTATATTGCTTATTCATTGGCTTAGACAAGCAAATGATTTTACTGCATTGTAAAGCAAGTGGAAAGGTAGCTCAAGCGAGCCTGAAACAAGCTGCTGATGTTACAGGGAATTAAGGATGCTTCTGCCTTGAGAAGCCCCCCAAAAAGAAAGCATCTTCCATTGCAGGTGGCCAGTGAGGTGTTGTGTGGGATGAGCTCCTCAGCACCCTGCCAGCTGCCAGCAGGGGCCTGGGGCTGGTCAGCCTCTGGTGGGCCGATCCAACAGGCGGCTGCTCATCCACGTGCTGACCTCCTTCAGAAACCTTCAGCTTTTATTCAATTTTGCATATCAGCTTCTTAAACTTTTCAAAAGAGAATGCAATTTTCATGCTCTGTCAGCTTTAAGAAGTGATTTCCCACTAGCTGGGCCCATTGCACTATGACCTCTTTGCTTTAAAAGAAGTGCGTGCATTAAGCATGCTTCCTCAAGCAGTTTTACAGTTTATTTTTGCTACACGCACTTCTATTTTTTATTTATGTCTTGCAGATTTTTAGGAAACTTTCTGAAAACACGGATGAATATTAAAGTTTGTTGTTCATTGAAATATTTCACTGCATTTGATATATTAGAAAAGCTACATTAAATGTTTGATGTTTCAAATATCGTGATGATTTTAATTGTCATTATTTTAAAACATATATGCTGTTTTCTGTAGTTAGTGGATTTAATTTAATTAAGAAATTAAACACCAGTTTTATACTACATGCATACCTATTTAAAGAGTAAATTCATGTCTCTGTAAAAGTTTTCTATTTCAAAT